GAAAAAAAAGAAGAAATAATTCTATAAATAATATAAAGTATATTGAATAAATATCATTATATATTATTTTAAAACTGTATAAGAAAAATTAAAATTCTCGAAACTACGGGTTGATAAGCTAATCTAATAGACACTATAACGTACAACATAATTTTAGGGTTCAACTAGCAATTATTACAAATTATTTTAAAACAATTACCAATCAGCTGTAATTATTTTATAAAAGTTATAACAAGAAATGCGTATGTTGATAGATATAATTATAATTTTAATAATAATTCATATAACAGTATTCTTATAATTACTGTCAATTTTTATTGTGTATTGTTCTATTTTTAGTCAATTTTTTTAAAATTTAAAATTAAAATCATTCTACATCTATACGGACTGGAAATTTATTCCTGGTTATTATACTAAATTCTACATTTACATTTTGTAAAACTACAATAAAATGCATAAAATGAAGTAAAAATGTTACTGAAGAATTAGGTTTAGATGAAAATAATTTTCAAATCCATTAATGCTTTTATAATAATAGTAGGTGCAGGGGTGGATAGGTCCATAGGGAAAAAGGGATTTTCCCTGTGGGCCCTCACCCCATATTATGTCGGTGGCCCCTCGATACCATTCATTTTTTCATAAAAATTTATTTATTTTTTTTTATAGTTAAATTATTTAAATTAAATTAAGATGAGTAAATATAATACATTTTTTAAAAGCAAATTTTTTTTTTACATTTTGGTGGCCCCATTAAAATATTTCCTTGTAATAAAAAAACTACCTATCCATCTCTGAGTAGGTGTATAATATTAAAATAATCTTATAAATAATCTATAATCAAGTTTTTTCCAAATATTTGTATGTAGAATATCATCGGAAGATAAAAAAAATATTTATATTACTATAATAAGCTTATAGACCAGAATTAGTAAAACAAATACGATTTCAAATCGATTTTCAAGCAATATTAAGATCAAAATATATTCATTCAGATATGAAGACTGATTCATTAAAAGAATTATTTATTTTTACCATACGAGTAGCGTTAATTATTAATAATTAATAACATAATTTATTTACGGTATTGAAGAAACTATCTATGATTGTATCAAAATAGTGCTGTTTTATCATAATTTGTCTTAACTTACCTTGCTTATATATAAATTAAATTTACTACATATATGTATACATTTTTTGAATGATCCGTTCGTTAAATCAAATATTAAAATTAATCAAATTATCTAGTTTTATATGACATTCATATTTTATTTATCCGTTTACGTTTACTATTATGAAGCTTTCACCTCTCAGTATTACAAAAAAAAAAAAAAAAAAATTAAATTAAATTTCACAATACATATCTATTATTAAAAAACGAGTGTACAACACCCTGTTTCTGTATCCTGTCTGCATTTTTATTTCAACAACTTGCAATTTTATTTGACTATAGTTTACAGCAGTATTTATAATTATATTATACAACAGGACTTAGTTGGCGTATGATGTACGAATACACACCCATTATTTTCTGTCTAATTACATTTTACAGACCAAAGGACTTTCGAGTGTTCTCACGAAAACAAAAAAACTTTAAATATTTATTAAATAGTGGTACGATGAGATTTGAATATATCACGAATAAACGGAGATAGGTGTGTGATTTAATTAATTTTTTTGGGCGTAAATTGCTATACGGGCGAATGACCTAAAATTTGTACATGCGAAAAAACATAAATCGTTAATTTAACTGTTCATTATTGTGAATTTGCACCAAGCAGACAGGCGTGTCATAACGGAGGTTAGAATAATGATATGTGTCACATGACCTATACAATTGGATAACATTTATATAGATATTATAACTCACGTAAATCATTACGCAAGGATATAAAAAATGCATTAGAAATCAATAGATAACGTTTAACTCGGAAAATCAACTCACCGAATATGATTAAAAATCGGAAATATCTTGAATAAACAAAAAACTTTGATAAATATGTAGCCAACCGTGTAAATGTGAATACGTATTAGGTGGTACATAACCAATAAATCTTAAATTAGATAAATTAGAAACAATAAATAAAACAATATTTAAAATTGACTGAAAATCCTGAACTTAAACATAAGGAAAAGATACAGTTAATTTTTTCATTTTATAGAATTTTTTTTTTTTATTAATTTTAATGTTTTCCTAATATTGATCATCTAAACTTAGGTATATAGAATTTGAATATTTATAATTTTTATATTGGATGACACTGGTAAACTAGTAAAATTACTAGCTTTTATTTAACATAATTTTGCTCGATAAAACCACTCGTTTAAACGATGTTACAGTGAAATCTATCCGAGGTAAATCTATAAATACATGAATATCTTCATTATGTCTTGTTCCTAATACTTAGTACACAGCAATTAAGCCAGAAAATTGTAAAAAACGCAATACTTCTTTGGTATTTAGGTTTTGAAATTTGTTGTATGTGATGATGAAGCATAAGATTTTTGTCGGTGTTCATGTAATTTCGTTTGGCCGCCAAAAATAGGATTAAACTCTGGAACTACTTCCGATAACATTAAACGATAAATAATATATGTACAATATTATATACTCCAACATGAGGTGGATAATATTTTAATTTACATATTATAATTAATATGGACTCTTGATTTGTCATATATTATATTTTACTTTATATTTATTTATATTATTTTACATGACAAAAAGAGATGGCAATTTATTTTTAAAATAAAACTAAGATTTTTTTCTGACCCGTACGGAAGTCATTCAATATACAGTCAAAACCAATTATTTCTACGTTACAGGTAAAACAATTCCCAGCGATGTATTTAGTTTGTTTTATATTTTTGCAGTAATTTTGATCGTACATAACGATATCAGTTACAAAGATCATCCAGAAATAACTATATCATTTTGAAATTCAATTTAGTTTTTATATTTACTTTTAACAATATCGGTGTAAAAAAAAAAAAGAAAAGTAAAACTTGGTTCTATGCAAACAAATATTAAGAAATATTGGAATTTTTAGATTTAAGAAAGATTGAAATCAGCATCAAAAATCTTTGCTGAAACTTACAAAACGTAATGTAATGAAAATTTCAAAATAAAGAGAAGTAATCAGTTACTTGGCAATAGAAATAAAACTGAAAGTGAGAATTATTGAAAACTAATATTTTTCTCGTTTTTCCTTTGTCGACAAAATATGAGGCTATGAGAGTAAAAACGGCCTAACCCACTATTGTATTACAATTTACATTGAAGTTATATGGGTTTTTTCTTATTACTTGAACTTTTGATAGTTTTTTTTTCCGTATGAATATGTTATTTATTTTAGAAGTGTGATAGTCAATTAACAACAATAGTTATTGGTCTCATTGCATCAAAAAAGTAAACCATTGAATTTCTGAATAATTAAGATAGAACGTAATTCGGTGGGTTAGGTCACGTTTTGCTCATCTTACGCACTATTACTTCGCCTTGGAACCCTCTGTTAACACTATCTACGACTGGTATACATTTTCAAACGCTGTACGGTTTAAAACATATCATTGCATTTCTCAATCCGTTTACAAAGAATTTGATTTCCGGCCGTTCATCGAAGATCGTTGCGAGCGACTTCGATCGCGGTCGGAAGAACGTTGAAAATCACAGTACCAAGTTTTCGAAACGGACTCACTTCGATCAGTCCGTTAACAAGTTGACTGCCATGAAGACCGATATTGGCATTCATTAGTTTTGTTTTCTCCGCCATACTATTTTAAAGAAATCTATAATTCACGCCTTGAGTACCAATCTCGGTGTTCACTAAATGCATTTCTCAGCTTAAAATGTCAAAATTAGTACTCACTCTTATAATGCGTTAAATTATTGGAAACCGTATTTACTAGGAACTCTATCTAGCCATTGAAAATTAAAGCTTTAACTTTAATATCAATTAAATGTTGTATTAAATTAATTGTTAATAGCAAATTTGAATTATAATTGTATTAGATTTTACAATACTTTACACGAATGAGTCTTAACCAGTGCCGGATTACCTATTAGTCACCTTAGGGCCTCGCTCATTCAAGGAGCCCTGTGAAAACGGAAAACTGTATATTTTTTTATTTTATTTAATAATACCTGTATTTTATTTACGAATTTACGGGACAAAATTCATTATTAAATGTAATATATATATTAAGTTGTAAGTGTTATACACGCTAATAATAATAAAATTATTTTGAAAAAAATAGAAATAATATAATAATTAATCGATTTTTCTCACAAATAAAAAAATTTGATAGACACGATTTTATTTATTGATAATAGTCGGTTATTATTGAAGCTGTTTATTTTTTAATTATCTTGGATAGTAATGTTAAAGATGTACGTATAAAATAATTTCGTATGGCCCAAAATTTTAATCACCTAGGGGTACCCCGAAATATTTAATCCGGCACCGGTCTTAACGTTATACGGCCGTAACACGACGACACGTATTCAGTGGCGTAAGAAGACTCGTTAGCGAACCCCTGGCCAACTTGGAATAAAACGCTTTTTAACCGATTAAAATTTGATGTTACAATATTTTTTTAAGTACCTAGATATACAATTAATATTTAAAATTTATTGATATAGTGTTAATTACATAAACTTTGAATTCATACGTAGCTCGTACAAATAAAAAACATCTACATATTTCAAAAAGAATAATGGAAAAATGTCGATTTCGTCGTAGGATTAAAATGCGATTCTCGCACGATTTCGCGCCACTTCGCGATTCGCGCTCCTCAGGCATTAAGGCACAGTGGGTCATACCCTTGCTGCTCCACTGGTACGTATCGCGCAACAATTACAACGTTAAACGACTTCTGGTATCGCACGGCGTAGGCAGCTTAGCCGGCGGTGGGCAGAGGACGACCCCGCCGACGGCGTACTCGGGCGCTCCTTTTCTCACCTGGAGCGCTAGACAGCCGGTCGGAATAATAAAAGCGACGCGCACGCCGCGCAAACAAATCGTAACGCCACGCTCGGCAGCCGCGACACGCGTTCGACCGACCGACGAACACGAGTGGTTTAACGACGCGCGTGTCGATTCTACGCGCGTAAATCGAGTTTTTTGGAATAGAAAAAAAAAACAAATAAATAATAATAATAAAGAAGAACAAAACCGTCGGACCCGCTCGCTCGCGCCGATATCAATCGTTATTGTTTGCGTCGTCGTTACCGTTGTGGTGCGCAGTTGTTACACGTCCAGTATACGACACGGTCGCAAGTTCGATTTCGATATTCGATCGAGTTTTGCGTATAATACACGTTTGCAGCGGAGCCCAAGCCGTCGTCTCCCGAACGCCTGTGCAGCCGTCGAGTGTTACCGAAATGGACGGTTCTTGGTGGAGTTCGGTACGTATATCGCATGCGCTTTTCGCGCGCGGAGGGAAAAAAAAATTACGTTTTATAGTTTTCGACTATGTTCGTTTCGTCGTTTCGCCAAGTAACGTGTCCGGGATAAACGCGTTTCGAGCGATCGAATATTTTTGATCTCGGAACCAACACAGTAGTCCATAATAACTCTGCCCGGATGTTGTCCGACATCGTCTTCTGGGGGTCCCGTAAGTAGATTTTTCCGGGGGAGGGGAGGGCACGTGTTACCTGATTTCGTTTTAAATTTCTCGAATCAAACATTCGTTCACAACTGTACCCGAAACCAGTGCACTGGGTGAGCATGATCGTAGCGTTGTACTTATAAACTATTTGTGTTTGTGCGTCAATAACACCGTAAGTCGAGTGGAAGGATTATTATATCGCTGATCAGATTGAATATATTGTATTATTATAAGTAGGGGTGTACCGTAATACGATTACACGAATGTTATGTAAAAACGCGGATTAATTTGAAAATTAGCACGAGCAATCTCGATCGGGCGTTCCCATTTTTATGCACAATCCGATCAATCCGAACTTTTACGCCACTTCGATCGGTTATCAAAAAACTGTACAGCATCCCCTGCAAGTTTTTCGTGAATAACAACGTGTTTAGGCTTAATTGAATTTGGAAAATCAACACGGATTATTATACAAATAGTTGTCTCAAGAGTTCGTAGCACACTGTCAATTATGTCAGTAAATCAAGCAGAAATATAAATTACTTAATATTTACGTTATTTAACCGTCGGTAAGCTCCAGACCCGTCAGACGACTTCGTAGTGAATGCGAATAATTATAGCATATTATAATCCGATTTGTAATGTCTTTAGTAAAGTGCGGAAATACGATTTTCGCTTTAGGGCAGAAAATATCCAACGAAAGTCCTGGGGAATACATTTTACCTATGTATTTATTTATTGTCTATATACTCATGTATTACGTGCGAGACAACGTATAATTATAACTTGAAGTATCTGTTAAAAATAATTGTTTAGTATAATTTATTATAAAATTTTTTCGTGGTACAAAAGACCATTACAAAATCGTTATCAAGCGGAAAGACGTTGTATTTATAAAATTGCGTGTTCATTTTTTATTATATTTTGCATTTAACGAGCACTCGTAGGTACAGATATTATAAAATCCTGATAATAGTAATTGATCTCAAATTTATTCTGATCGAGTGGTATTCGTACAGCTGGGTAAAATTAATTAAAAAAAATAATAAATAGTTGACTAAAAAATAACAAAACTTTTTTGCTTATCTTAGATCCAACGTTAAAGATTTGGCATTATGAATAGTATAGATAGGTAGATGAGATATAAGTAAACTTGATCTTGTATGATTGTCGATGGCCAAAATCACACTAAGAAACAACGAGATAAATAAATTACATACCTAGTGTAATGAATTAATAATTCCTGGCTAGGCATGTTTTTCTCAATATCTTATTGTTATATATAAATACTCTAAGCGAAATAGTAAATAAACTTAAATCACTAACAATTTTCTATAAAATGTTCACTAAGAAGATTTTTTTTTATGATTACTAGCTACTAATCAAATATATAGTGTATTCATTTTTGGACAAAATAAAACTATGGCCCGCAAGAAGATATTTTTAAATTATTATTCTAAATTTAAATGTATACGACTTTGTTTATTTTTATTAGTGACATACTTAAATATTTTATAGCCTTGTAGTAATCATTATAACTGAGTACTTATTTTTGTTTAAATAAATTAATAAATTAAATCAATACCTATAGGAAAACATTTGTCAGAACTTAAAGTAGTTATTAGTAAAGGAAACATTAATGAACCCAATTATTTCAAATGGTATTTTAAATTTGTTGTTACCAAACACGCGTGTACATAAATATCACACTACATTTTGCTAATTATTGAGCGAATACATTTTATTTTATTTTTAATATATCATTTTGTAATGTTTAATATTTTTTTAGTATGTTTTATTTTGTGAGTGAAATCAATGATTATTTGACAGATTTAATGCATAAAATATGCACATCGTTTCTGAAAAATACGAGGCTTGTTATGAACAACGAATTCGTTCCTACGTAAATAAATATTAATGTTTCTTAGATACGTACATTGAAGTATAGACAAAAAACATTGTTTGTCCAAATCAAGTCCGCAGCCAATAACTTGGAGGAACATGTTTCACGAATTATAATTTATGTACAGCGTTTATTCTCTTTAAAGGTTACTTCTAATTTAACTTTTTCGTTTAGTCTCATTAAAACATGCGCAATAAACGCATTCTGAATCTACTCGGATCTACATGTGTACATGTACATCTACACACATATAACGTAAATAGTCAAATAGAGGGGTGTATGATCTGAGGACATTAGCATGTAATAATCCAATCCGCGGGAGTGCCTCCGGTGGTCAACCCGTGAACGTCGGTTACTTCATGTGCACACCACTGGATAACTGTTGATGGAATTAATTTCTCCGATTATCGCGTTGTACATAAAGTACGGATTGTATTTTTCTCTGAAAATAAAAAAATAACGTTAAAAAAGTAGAAATACGCATCGCGCAGCGTACGTCGCGTTTACGTACCTTTACGGTCGTCCTAATATATTTTTGGATGATTATAAACCTTAAATAATAATATGTTGGAGTGCTTTGGGCTGTCGTGGGATGATGCCGTTACCGTATTCTATACACATAACAGTCCGACGTCGAGGAGATGTTTTTTTAATCGTAGTTCGATTCGCAGCTCATTATTTACATCCGCGTTGCAACTCGTTCGCGATTTACAAATAGACGTATCATAAAAAAAATAAATAAATAACAATTAAAATACATGTGAACAATCTAACATCGTGGATTATGGACGTGGTATGGACCAGTGGCGTAGCCAAGATTTTTAAATGGGGGAGGGGCTAACCAGTTTTTTGGATAAGTAAGGTAAGAGAGAATATGAGAATTCACCCATAACCCTACCACCAAGTTTCTAAACGTAATTCAAGCATTTTAGTATAGTTTTAAAAATATTTATTAATATATAATTTATAATAATAATAATTTTGGTGTCAGTGTTCAGTCACTTGCTCCACTCTGACAGCTGCATCCTCTGGCAAATTCAGTTACTATTTCACTTTCATCTAATTGCTCTTTTTTAGCCATAGCTAACCCATTCAGTCTGTTTTCCAACATGGTGCTTCTTAAAAAAATTTTTAAACGATTAAGTGCTGAAAACGTTCTTTCCGGAGTGAAAGAGGTAACTGGTAACGTGGCGAATAATTGTAAAAGTATTTTAATGTTAAGTCGAAGATTGGTGCGATGAGAGAGTGAATCAAGAGCAGAATTCGGTTTTGGAATAGTATTTTGACTCCATTGTTGCCTTCATATAAACAGGTCAGCCCTGATTGTAGATGAGGTATCATCATGGAGATCTTGGACGTATATTTTAGCAGCTTTTATAATATTTTTATCGTCATACATATTTAAATTGGCCGGAATAAGTCCTTCAAGTGGCATAACATCAATAAGCCTTTGATAAAACGAGCATCCATTGATTCTATTAAATAGTCAAGATACATTAAACATATAAACATGGCCCATGGAGGGGCTATAGCCCCCTTAACCCCTCCCCCTTGGCTACGCCACTGGTATGGACTGAGGATTAAGACTTTTTTTTTCAGTATCTCATGCATATTTAATGTTTGTTTTTTCGCTAGAAAATCCCACCCGAATGTGTTTTGTTCAATTCTCTGAAATACATACTCGTTTAGAAGAACTCACACGTACACACACATGTACACACATATATAAATATGAATCCCGATAGTCGTCGTTTAGCTCGAAGACTTAAAAAACGTAATAGTACGGGTTACGGTCACTATGCCGTGACGACCGTGAAAAATTAATATTCCCGCACTCTCGTAATGAATATTTCATTATTATTATTTTTAACGCGTGGATCAAAGGGAAAAGCGAAACCACCTTGAGCCAAACCCGGTTGGACTCCTAAATAGTCATATTGAGATTCGATAATAGATAAGACAACTTGTGCGATCACATTTTACTCTCTGTGATAAAATATAGGCAATACGAACGTATTGGTTCGTATGGTACACAATATCGTTGATTTTTTACATCAACCGATAAACTATTTAAAACGCCTGAGTATTACAGTTCGATAATTTGGCGATTGCTAAGTCATTGACGAACGACTTTTGACCGCATTTATAAAATTAATATACGCGATAATAAATTGACAGTATACATAATATCTAGACAGTAATTAAAACGTGTAGCGCCTAAACACATAATTACTTTCATTTAAAGCTACGATTGTAATCGTTTATGAGCAACGACGGTGTTCTCGAGAGTTCAACCCCTTCGGTGCATTTGATTATTCTAAAAAACCATACTACGGTTTACCAATATTACAGTATGTTTCGCGATTCATTTATTTTTAATTTTAATTTTATATCACTGTATTACGTTGTATTAGTGAATTAAATTACACCACGTGCGATCGTAATGGTTTACTACACACTATATGTTTTGATTATTTTTTATGATATAATATATATTTAATAAATACAAATTTGAACTGAAGATAATGAAAATGCCAAACTGCTGATTAACCTAACCGTAATTTTAAATTGTAGCTCATTTATAAAACCTCGCCCTAGATCGACACGTATATAAATCACTATCACATTTGAAAATGTACTTATGAAATAAACGTTCACCTATGTTAATTATCATATCAAGTGTTTTCTCGGCCTGTAAATAAATCAGTATGTTATGAGTTCATACGTATACACAGTGTTTATGGCTAAATCGTTTGTACATATATAGACGTATAACGATTGATATTTCCTTTTGTCGAATAGGATTACTTTTTGTTAACATACTTTACACTCGAATAGAGGGTGGACAATTTTTAAACTTAAAACATTCACTAATCTATCATTCTATTAGAGAG